TCTCAAGTGGAGATCATCTTCAAATGGATAAATAGACCAGGTGTGTGAATTAGGTGGTATAGGATATGCTACACTTTGCACTGGTTAAAGCCAAAAACAATGGAATCTATATTTTTATTGGTGTAATTTGTATATAATAATAGTCAGTATATTGGAGCCAAGATAAGTCCTTACTTTGCCAAAGCATCCCCAAACATCATTGGAGTTGGTTGGGATGGCATTTGAACATGAGAAGCTTGATTCAAAAGCAACTAATATAGTTATAAAACTTGATAAAATTCTAGTGGTGTGTAAACATAATTTATATGCAACTTAGAACATGGCAAAGAAATTTGCAAATGAGTATTGCCAATTTTGAAAATATAAGTTGGGAAATCTCATCTTTGTGTGAGTGATCTTTCCTTCAAGTGAGTGATGAAACACCTTAGTGCTTTTATGAAGTGGGAAGAGTGATACACTTTCTCATAAATGTGCTAATTCATATGAAGTGTTGGAGTGCATTGGTAAAGTGGCTATGATTGTTAGCTAGGGTGAATATTCATCTAGTATTTTATGTTAGCCAGTTCAAAGATGTACTATCTCAAAGTGAAGGGCCCAATGACTCCTTGATGTATGGATGTTGAACCAAGAACTTAAATAGAGTTCTTGAGAAAGATCCTTGGAACAAGTCCTTTTGTTAAGGGGAAGAATTGTTAGGTGTCAATTTTGACATGTAATCAATGTGGATCAAAAGTAAGCTCAAAGATATATTAAGGTATGGACTTAGGGTAAGGAACTTAACCCTATCTTAAGGGCCCATAGTGGCAACAGTGGTGCAGTAGAGCTTTTGGCTTGGGGGTGGTTGGGTGGTGAGGAACTTCAAAAGGAGGCATAGCTTAGTTTAGGTGAGGTTAGGCATTTTTGTTTTTATTATTTAGCACCAAGTCATAAACAAGCCACAACGTTGTCTTTGTTTTCTGTCTCTAAAGGGACTGTGGACTACTCTAGTCAAATCATAGCCTTTTTTATCAACATCATGCTGACTAGTCACAGTCAGATTATCATTGTTGACTGATTGTTCAACGTCTATGCTGACTGGTTGGCAGAATAGTCACAATTAGTGTACAATGTTGACTAGTCAATGGTTGACCTGCAGCTCTTTAAAGCTACTCAAAAGTCAAGTTTGAGTGAATTCATGAAAGTTTTTCCTAAGATACTTGGGTACAACCCAATATTTTAGAGTCCTTATGTAACATGCACAATAGCAAGTAACTCCTGCTCAAAATTTAAATACCTCTTCTCAGCATCATTAAACTTACAATCTCA